AAACTTTAGACACGCATGCTGTTTTGCAGTGACGCCTGTTGACACAGCAGACCCCTTGGAGTCCTGTGAGCAGCAGGACTTCGCGCTGTTGCTAGGATGGAGAAATTGGAAGGGGGGCACTCAGAGACCCGGGGGCTGCACGTGTTTCCCCAGTTGGCAGAAGTTGCAACCGGGCTAAATGGAAACACTCTATTTTTTAAATGTTCAACAAATATTTATGAAGTGCCTCTGAATGCCAGGTGCTATTTTGGGCAACGAACCTAGGCCCCTGTGCCACATTATTCGTAAATGTCCCATTGGTTTAGTTACTTGGAGCGCGGCAGGACGATGGCAGGGATCATAGGCAACCATTTCCACGTCTGGTGAGCCCACCTAAGGTGGGGTTCAAGAGCGCAGGCTGGGTCCACGTCCCGGCTCTGTCACTTTCAAGCTGTGTGACCTGGTGCAAGCGGCTGCACCTCTCTGGGCTAGATGTTCTGATTTGTAAAATAGGGTTGTTGTAAGGATTGAATGAGTTTAAATTAAGTGAAGCACTTAGAGGGACAGAACTTGGCGCATGGAACGTGTTTATAGTAATAAGTTCGCTGTTATTGTTACAGCACAAGAAGTGCTATGTTGGTGTTGGATGTTAGTATTACTGTGCAAAAAGCATCGAACTTCAAGGAAGAAGGCCTGGCCAAGCCATTTGATGCTCTGTTTCTCATCTGAAAAACGAGAAACATTAGAAACATTATTTTATCTTCCTGCTTGGCTCACTGGGATTTTGTGAGAATCTGATGGATGTCAAAGCTCTACGGACATTGTCCATTGATAGTCATAGTCCTGGTGCTTTTTTTTTTTTAATTTTTAAGAAAGATTTGTTTATTTTTGGAGAGAGCACGCAGGAACAGAGGGGTGGGGTGCAGACAGAGAGAAAGAGAGAGAGAGAGAGAGAGAGAGAGAGAGAAAGAGACTCCCTGCTGAGCACAGAGCCCGATGTAGGGCTCGATCTCATGACCCTGAGATCATGACCTGAGCCGAAATCAAGAGTCGGCCTGAGCCACTCAGGCGCCCCGGTGCTGGTGCTTCTCTGTCAACTCCAGCCAGATCTTTTTGTTGGAGAGAGGGGGGTGGTATTCTTCTTGCAGATTAGCTTTCTATTTGGGGGAGCGGTGGGGCTGAAAAGATGGAAAGGTAGATCTTTTTTTCTGCTTAAAGATGAATCTGAGCCCTTGTTATATTTCCTTTGCCTGAGGAAAGTTAACACGTGGTCTCACATCCCCTTTAGTTAGAGCAGAGATCTGTCTCCTTATACCATCTGCTGTTTGCATCTGTCTGGGCTGTTAGACATGTCAGTGTCTTTCCAGAATTACTTTAAAGTAACCTTGATCATGGAATAAAGAGCAGGAGATTTATCTGTTAAATTATTTGCAGAATCGTTCGCTGCTGATATTATGATTGAAGGGGAAGCCTGGCTGCAGGAGGTGTTTGGAGCCGAAGCCTGCGTGACAGTCAGACAAGTAGGAACTGGGTTACAATTTTAAAAATTCAGGACCGTGATATGAAAATGTCACTCACTCTGTATTGTTATTCTTGAGCTACTGTAATAAAATGTTTTAACTCACGGATCCCAAGGTTGTAGTGTTGTATAGATAAAGAACATTCTAGAAGGGTCAGGAACACTTTGGAGGTTGAATGTACGGTGATTGAAAGTTTGAACTGTCTTGATATTATCCAACAGGGATGATCATCATCCTGGCTCACAGGTCAGGGAACTGAGGTCTGTAGGCCAGGGTGGAGCTCTCATTTTAGGGAATGGATCAGCCAGCATGGAAGTCATACCAGAAGGGGGTCAGCAGCCCTTTGTTAGGTGAGGGGTCAGCCCCGGCTCTCTGTCCCTCCCTCAACACTTCCACACTAAAGGGATGGAACAAAAATGCTTTTCCCTGGCTCCGGGGTCAGAGAGAAATAGGCTCCTTTAGACTCCACCGCTGTGTGATGTTGGCCAAAGACCTACCCTCTGTGAGCCTCAGCCCTACAAGGACATGGATAGCACTTTCCTCTCGAGGTTGTTGTGAAGATTCAGTCACGCGGTGCATGCAGACCACTGGCCCAGTGCCTGCACTTCATCAGTGCTCAATAAACAGGAGCTCTTCTTATTGTCATTTCCACCCACATTTTGTCTCAGCAAAATCGAATGGAGATTTTCTGACTGTAGCATCATGTTAGCACTAGGATGTATGGTCCTGAGAGTTGAGGCATCTTTTATATTTTACCTTTGGACACAATTGGGTGAACAAAGCAGCCGGCCGCTCAGACCTAGTTGGGGGAAACCGCCAAAGCTAACTTGCTCTTTAGGCATGTGTGAAAGTCAAGGACACCACCCATCGAACAGAAGATTCAAGGTCTCAAGAAGACCCCAGGTTCAGACTATGCAGATGCTTTGCATCCACATGTCGCACAGAAGCTCCAAAATTGGCTTACAACAACCAGAATGTGGTTATAGAAGTTGGTGGGTGGGGTCTTCTTTTCTTGGGAAGACTGGGTCTCCCCGTTGGGTGGCCCTGTGTTTACGCCTCTGTGGCCACAGCATGGGGTCTGTCTCCCTAGACCGTGAGCAACTCTAGGGAAGGCATGGAATCTCATTCATTTTTGTAGCCCTCTCTTGTAGCATTGGTTCTGGTGCAAGCTATGGTTTAGATGAATGCATTTCATTTTATTTTTAAAAATATTTAATTAATTTAGTTGAGAGACAGCAAGTGTGTGAGAGAGAGGGGGCACAAGTGGGGGGTGGGGAGGAGCAGAGGGAGAGGGAGAAGCAGGCTCTTTGCTGAGCAGAGGCTCCATCCCAGGATACTGGGATCATGACCTGAGCGAAGGCAAGAGGCAGACGTTTAATTGACTGAGCCACCCAGGCGCCCCTGGATGAATGTATTTCAGATAATTGAATGAATCAACAAATCAGTAAATACTTTCTGGAAGGTCTGGGTGAAATGAGATATTTATCAAATGGTTTGGCTGCATCAGGATCCGTAGTCACAATTGGTAAATTGTTGGGCTCAGGAGAGGCCTTTTGTATTTCCAGTTGCTCCCTTGGTTGCGCCGGGCCAGCAGGGTCTGTCTCTGGGGGTAGGTGAGGGCTCAGCATCCCTTGAGGGGTGAGAGAAGATTTCTAGCAACAAGGAACAGGCAGTCACAGGAAGCCCCGGAATCCGGAGAAGCTCCTCTAGCCTGTCTCCCAGTGCCTAGCCTGTCACTGCCTTCCTCGAGAACAGGACCTGGGGCTCACAGAGCTTGGTTTTTCCAGCGCATCCACCAAGCCAGGTGCCTCGCTGGAGGAAAGGGAGGCTGTTTCGAATTCACGTGAGGGTGCTGTCCACTTACAGGTCACGCACCTGCCCAGAGCAGCACCACCTTCCAGAGGGCCAGATAACCAGCGCTTCTCAAACTTAGCCGATGTGGAACACTTTGTCCCCTTCAAAGCTGGCCTGATTGTTTATGGGATGTACTTTTTTGGGTTGCAAATGACAAAAATCCCAACAAAGCCAAATGAGGACTCAAGATCTCATGTAATCATTGGCGGGGGGGGGGGGGGGGGGCGCAGGGCAGAGCAGGTCCCTGGGGGGACCTCAGGACCAAGTGGAACCAAGGCCTCCATATCACCGGGACCTCTGCCCTCTGCCCTCTGTTCCTCTCCGGGCTTCTCTCTGCTTGCTGGCCCTAGTCTCTCTTAATGCACGCTGCCTTCTCTACAATGGCTGGAAACAGGCTGCTGGTAACACCTGTATTCTTATTCTATAGGGCCCATGGCACTTCCTTGCCCCTCTGGTTTTGGGGGAGTCTTGTATGTACCCCAGTGGGAAGGAGTACTGCTGGGAAGACAGACTGAAAGACAACCACTGCCTTGGGAAACAGTCCTTGGGGTTTAAAAAAGCCCTTTTCCCCTTCCTGACATTTATGCTTCACTTAAATGAGCATTATTTAAATTGAATTTTTAAGATCTCATCACTTTCTGTCCTGTGATTTGACGTTTTGACTGTCGTTTATATTTTTGTATCTTGGTTTTATTTATTTTTTTAAAAAATATTTTATTTACTTATTCATGAGAGACACAGAGACACAGGCAGAGGGAGAAGCAGGCTCCATGCAGGGAGTTGGATGTGGAACTGGATCCCGGGACCCCAGGATCACACCCTGAGACGAAGGCAGATGCTCAACTGCTGAGCCACCCAGGCATCCCTGTATCTTGGTTCTAAAAACTGATTACCTGGGGCGCCTGGATAGCTCAGTGGTTGAGCGTCTGCCTTTGGCTCAGGGCATGATCCCAGGGTCCCGGGATTGAGTCCTGCAGGAAGCCTGCTTCTCCCTCTGCCCATGTCTCTGCCTCTCTCTCTATGACCCTTATGAATAAATAAATAAAATCTTAAAAAAATAGAAAATAAAAAACTGATTCCCCAGCAGATGAGCCTATGGTGGGAGTGAAGGAAAAGGGAGCACCTCTGAGCGGTCAGGGCCTCGGACAAGTGGCTCCAAGTTTCCAAGAGCTCATTGTTTTCTTTGTTCAGCGTTGTTCCCTGGGTTTCTGGTTGAATTCTGGTTCGCAGAGACCTGGGGGAGGCAGGAGAAACATGTCTTTCATCTGGGTGGTGCCACAAGCACGTTAGACACTTAAACATCTTATGTCAAATATCCTTCCTTTCTCTGGGGAGCAGATGACCCCTCAAAGTATGATAGGTGTCCTCAGTCTTGGTTTTGACTAAAGCAGTCATCCTACACAGCTAGAATCTTGTGTGTAACTGCGTTTCTCCTCCAGCAGATGAGAGCAGGAGCCAGGCTTGCGTGGCTCACCTTATATCTGCGTGTAGCTGGGCGCCAGCTCGCAGGCGGTGCTCAGCCGGATGATAAAGCAGATGAGCAACCTGACGCTTGAATATGTGGCCAGTGGCCAACTGAGAAATGCTTTTGTGTCTTCCGACACTCCTATTTGATTTCTTCTCCAATTTCTCTTTCTTCTGGCTCAGAGAACTTCATCGGCTCAGAACCCAGCGTCTGTGCAACCACCCAGGGACAGTCAGAACATAAAAAGGAACCTGGAGGAGAATTCCAGAAGTACTGACCGTGGAGCCTTGCACAGGTAAGAGCCGGGGTCAGAGGACTGACACAGCCCGATGCGTGGCCAGCTCACTGCCTGCTCAGCGTTGGCTTTGGAAAATTTACCCTAAAACCCATGACATGGTCCTCAGTGGTGATGCGGTCAGAGCAGTGGCTCATAGCCTGCTTTGTGATTGCCTCGACCTGCAGGAGTAGAGAATTAATGTGTTTTTCTGCCCACTGAAACTAGCGATTATAGGCTTCCATTCCAGCAGTATTCCAGATTGTTTATTGTCATTATCGGAACGTATAAAAAAGATCAAGTCTACCAAAGGACTTCTCAGGGGTGTCTCATGTGTGGTGAGTTGGGGTGTGTGTTCTGGCGCAGTAGCCAATAAAGGGCCCTGGATGAGAAGATAGGATTCAAAAACTATTACTAAAGAGACAGGTTCCCTCAGTCCCAGGGAGGCTGGTGGATAAATCCTGGAAATTAAGAAGGTCACACTGGTGCAGTGGGACAAGACCAGTGCGGGGCGTGGCCCATCCTCGTTATGATCCCCAGGACCTCCCGATTTCCCTGCTGTGGCTTTTGGGAAGAAGCCCAATAGACTGCACCCGCGTGGTGTTTGGCACTCAGAGTTTTGGGGGCGTTCCCAAGCAGAGGGCCAGCAGACGTGAACATTCAGTCCCCAGAACAGACTCGGGACAAGAACACTGGAGGCCGCTAGTAATTGTCTGTGGGTTCAGCGCATGACCTATCTGGTTGGAAGAACCTTCCTGAGCAATTGAAGCCCAGCTTCCAGGAGGCTCTAATGACAGGCCTTAAAGGAACAAATCCACTGGAGCTCCACGGAGCAAAAATGCAAAACTGAAAGGTAGACTCGCCCCTCCCCATCACTAGACAATGAAATCTTAGGTCACGAATGCTTTGCAGTATCACCTGACCTAAGAGTTTGAGCAACATTTCTAGGTTTTGGGTTTAAACTTCAGAGGGTCGTGGTGAGTGAGAGCGACCCCTGGTGACAGGAATTTCCACGCCCGGCTGGGACTACTTTCTGGGTGGCTCAGGCCACAGTGGTTTCTAGACCAGGCACTTTGAACCTCTTGGTCTTGAACATTAGATCTCTTTAGGGGAACGGTGGGGCAGGGTATTCTTTTCTTGCTGAGGGAATCACAGAACGACACCGTTGACCCCTGTGTTCTGCAAAAGGGAGGCCTCCTTTACTTCCTAGACGCCCCTGTGGAGTTCTGCTTTCATGAACTTTCTATGAGGATCACTGGACAGAGTTTTTAATATTTAGCTCTAATGAGACCAGATGACCCGTCTAAACTGGCTCTGGGTGACCGCGAAACTAATGGATAGATTAATCTTTTCTGGAATTCTACGCAAAGGAAATCCCTGTTGGCCGAGACCCAAGGTCCAGACTCCCCTCCTGACATCTTTGTGAGGTTCTGGGATCTCTCAAGAGGCTTGGGAAGTATTTGGGGCCTCCATCACGGCTGGACTGAGGAGTTATGGCAGCTCAAAGGGCTTTTGTTTCTTGTTCCTCAGCTTTACTCAATTATTATTTTTCCCTGGAGGAAGAATTGCTGCTCATTGCCATGCAAATTGAGCATAAAAGAGGTGCCTTCGGGGATCCCTGGGTGGCGCAGCGGTTTGGCACCTGCCTTTGGCCCAGGGCACGATCCTGGAGACCCGGGATCGAATCCCACGTCGGGCTCCCGGTGCATGGAGCCTGCTTCTCCCTCTGCCTGTGTCTCTGCCTCTCTCTCTCTCTCTGTGTGTTGTGTGTGACTATCATAAATAAATAAAAATTAAAAAAAAAAGAGGTGCCTTCTAAGAGCAAGCCCAAAGAAGCAACTTCCCATTCCCAGTTAGAAACATGAATTCTCCTCCAGAAATAAGTGAATGTCTGTGGCGCAGGGCTCTGGACTAACTAACCCACCAACTACCAAGAGGTGTGCGGGCTCCTGGAGTCAGGTAGATTAGGGGAAGAGAGGGCAAGTGCTGGCTCCCCGGGGCTGTCCCAGTGATGCACACACGGCCCTCGGCACCCCCGGTGATGATAGTAATCAAATTTAATGTTCATTTTGCAGATGAGCACCAGACACCATGCCAAATGCTCTACGCACACAAAATACACTTTTATTTCCTTCAAATCAATTCATTTCCAATTCCAAATCCTTACTCTACCCCATAGTACCCGCTGGTCCAGACCATGCTGTCCCTCAGGCCCTAAGACGGTGCTGCTTTCGTGACACTCTGGGCACCCGGGAATCTTCGATGAGGCCGAGAGCCCCATGGCCACCTCTTTCTGAGACTTTGCTCTCTTGTTATCCTCAAATGCATTTGCCTCTCCCTTCGCCACATCAGACAATTAGCATTTTCCCTTCACAGGATCTGTTGTAGGTTTTTAGAAAAGATGGAAAAAACCATTGACTTCATACTGCGTGTTCTCCTTGGAAAAACTCTAGAAAGCCCAGAAAGGCTTGCAGTGGCTCCTGCTGGACCTGGGACAAGGGAGGGGAGGACGGCCTGTGTGACTTCCCTAACGACCCCTGTGTGCAGCGTTGTCTTGTTGGACCCTGGCTCACGGGTGCCAACGTGGCCCGGTGGACGCCCCAGAGACCCAGACCCCAGACAGGCAGATGCAATCAGCAAGAGGGTTTATTGAACGTTTGCGCAAACGGGCTCTCCGCCTCCGTGGAGGAAAAGAGCCCCGATTAGCAATTACAGGGATCTTTGAAAGGCAAAAGGAATGAACCCCCCTAAAGACAAAAGAACCGCGGGAGTCGCATAGCGTCCAGGTTGATTTCGGGGAGGGTCAACATGAACCTATTCAGGGACATTCCAATCAGGGTGTGGGGGGAAATGGTTTTCTTATTGGGAACAGAATGCTTTTAGTTGCTAAAATTTCAGGAAGGCGCCTGGATGGGCTGCCTCTGGGTTAGGGCTGGCCCTACTTACAAGGGGGGAGGTTTCTTCACTCTCCGCCCTACAGATGGGATCCCTGAGGCCTGGAGCCCTGTGTCCTTCATGCGTTAGCGGTTGGAGGTCTGTGGTTTCCGCCTCGAGGGTCTTCTTCCCTCTGAATTACACGGGGATGGGGTTCCTACATCCCAAGGGGGTTGAGTTCTTCATCCAAATGAGTCCCATCGTTCAGCTGCCTTGCTTTCCTCTTGCCACATGGTGTCACTGTTGCAACTTAGCCCTGCGTCCCCCAAACCCCGCAGAGGCTGGGGGGCGCCTCCCCTGGCCCCTGCCAGAGGACGATCCTGCGCTCCTAGCACTGAGCCAGCTTGCCCCTCTTACTGCTCCAGGGACAGGGGTGACAGCAGGAGCCCTGGGGTCTCTGCCCCGGGGGGTAAGTAGGTTGTAGTGTGGTCAGACACTAAACAAGGCAACAAAAGGAAGACAGGCACTTCCAGGTAATGTCAGAGCTCCAAAGGACACCACGCGGGGCATCGTGATGGACGGCAATAGAGAAGGGAGCGGCCAGTTTAGATTCGATCATGGTTCTCAAGGTGAGGTTCCAGACTGGCAGGCTCCACAGCACCGGGGAAGTCCATAGAAGAGCGGTCCTAGGTCAGACTCCCTGAATCATAAGCTCTAGAGGTGGGCTCCGGTGAGCTGTGCTTAACCAGGCCTCCAGGTGATTCTGATGCACCCGGGTGTTGAGAACTCTGAAATTCGATGCCCTGGATTAGATGGTCAGGGAAGCAAGTGATGGAAGAGTGGAGTCTGGAACGGCAAAAAGGAGGCAGGTTTGGGAAGACCCAGGTCAATGGACGGGCAGTGCAAAAGACACAAGGTGGGAGCGAATTTGGTGAGTTGGAGAGACAGAGGGAGATTGATGACGGAGGGAGGTGGGGAGGAGGGCAGGGTCCAGAGCCCCCAGACCAGGGCCCAAAGGCCATGGTAAGAAATCTGGATTTACGTTATGTGAACCGATGTATAGTTCTGTTTTGTTTTGTTTTGTTTATTGGTGGTGGGGGGCTGGTTTGAGAGAGAGAGAGAGAGAGAGCATGAGCTAGGGGAGGGACAGAGGGAGAGGGAAGGAAAGAATCTCAAGCAGGCTCCCCACTGAGCGTGGAGCCAGACACGGGGCTCGATCTCACCACCCCAAGATCATGAACCTGAACTGAAACCAAGAGTCAGATGCTCAATCGACTGTGCCACCTGGGCGCTCTGATTTATGGTTTGATCAGACCTCTCTGATCACCGTATGGAGAATGCCAGGGGCCAAGGCGGGAGGCCAGAAAGTCAGAGAGGAAACCATGCAGGTCCCTGGCAGGATCTAGGGTGCCTAGAGCGAGGCAGGGATCTCAACCTTACATTCATTATCTTCCTCCCTCCTGGTACAGAAGTCTTCCTCGACATTTTATTCCTAATTGCCTTTTTCCCTCCCCGGGAAATTCCCATACCATAGATATGTTGTGTATGGACCGTGGTCTCTGGATGGCATCCCGGACCCGACAGTCCCCTATAATTCCACTGTACCACCTAAGATATTTTCCCCCTCCCCTCTGGGGATGGGACAGGCCCACTGAGCACACAGGCACTGACGTGATTACGGTGAAGATGGAGATATTTGGGGCTGAGAGATGCCAGGACTCGCTGATAGATTGGATTGGGAGGGAGGGAGAGGACACTCAAGGAAGATTCCTGAAGCTTTGTCTTGAGCAATTGGGCGGTGAGGACTATTTGCTGGGAAGTGAAAAAGTGGCTGAAGCAGGCGTATTTGCTGAGTTCCGTGGTCGCAGACCCAGGGCCCAGGAGGGAATCCTGCCGCTACCAGGCGACGCTGGCCAGACAGTGTGCGGACTACGACAACCCCGGCCTCACGGGGGGCACACAGGAGAGTCCTCCAGCTCTGGGGAAACGTCTGGGCTCTCTTGCGTTTCGGGGACAGCTCACTGCCTGCTCTGCGCCCAGCACTCTCCACCCACACCTGAACATACGTCACCCCTTTGCGGGGAGGTGGGGGCAGATTCCTTACTCCATTTAGCAAACAAGGCGCCACAGCTCACCACAGGCCAAGC